TTTCAGAGAGAGTGGAAAAGAGAGGGAAAGACATACAGGAATATCGATGTGAGAGAAACATATCGATTGGTTGGCTCCTGCACAAGCCCCAACCAGGGCCTGGGCCTGGGAGGAGCCGGCAACCGTGTTATGTGCCCTTGACAGAAATAAAACCCGGGACCCTTCAGTCCGCAGGCCGACGCTCCGTACACTGAGCCAAACCGGCTAGGGCTTGTTTGTCCTTTTAAAAAATGATCTGTTCCCTACAAGGTAAATAGGATAGTGACAGTAACAATAATCAGGACTCATTTATGTTTACTTCTTCAAAGTATTTCCTTTTGTCTTGCTTCCTGAAATCTCTTGATAGCAAGAGGACAGATGTTTTTTAAGGTGTAAATGCACAAGGGCCAAGAACAGAAGATGCTGGAGGGCAGATGCTCAACAGTAACTGACTCATGTCGATGTTTCTCTCTCTCTCTCTGTCTCTCTCCCTTCTTTCCACTCTCTCTAAAAATCAGTGGAGCCCTAGTCGGTTTGGCTCAGTGGGAAAAATATCTGCAGGAGGCGCCAATTGAGGTGTCTCTCTCACATCGATTTTTCTCTCTCTCTCTCTCTCTCTGTCTCTCACTTCCACTCTCTCTAAAAATCATGGGAAAAATATCCTCATGTGAGGATTAACAACAACAACAAAAAATAATGTTAAGATTTTTGCCTAAAATAATAATATTAATAATTACATAGCCCATCCTAATTACCTATAATGAGCCCCAGTCAACAAGCCTCATTTAGCCAAACAAAAATTCCAATTAGATTTTTCTTATTTTTAAAGGGCCACTCACTTAAATATGAGCAGCAACCAAGATGATCAGAAAGTAGAGAAAAAGTTCTACAAGTCAAAGGTCAAAATAATGAAAAAAGAAGTTGAAGAAACATTGCACAGAAAGGAAATTTAAATCACTCATACCCTCCTTCAGAAATAGAAGAAATATTCCAAGAGCAGGATACATGTTTTTTAAAAGAATGGAGCTTAACAAAAAAGGGATAGCTTGGCCCTAGTCAGTTTAGCTCAGTGGATAGAGTGTAGGTCTGCAAACTGAAGGGTCCCGGGTTCGATTCCAGTCAAGGGCATACACCTCGATTGCAGGCTCCTCCCTGCCTTGGCCCTGCTGAGGGCCCATGCAGGAGGCAACCAATCTATGTGTTTCTCTCACTTTGATATTTCTCTCAGTCTTTCCCTTTCTCTTCCATTTTCTCTAAAGATCAATGGAAAAATATCTTTGGGTGAGGATTAAAAAAATAATAATAATAAAAGAAAAAGGTAAAAGGAATCCAGTGGTCGGTCTTGGAGACCCTTGGACTATAGCTTCCTAATGAATATGCCAAAAAACACTGAGGTTTGTCTTGAATGGGTGATGGGTACATCTAGCTTTGAATCTGCAAACTTAGAAGATCCTCAGAGAGATTTATTCACAAATATATAACTGATAGAATACTAGTATGCTTGAGTATTTTAACAAGATTTACACACTCTGGAGAGAACTTAGGATTGAATTACTGAAGTAGATAAATGAAACTGAAAACACAAGGTCAGAAATTTTACCCTCCTTTCCCCCCTCCCCCGCCCAAAAAAAGGAAAAGAATTGTATACACAACTTGGTTGAGCTGTAAATAGTGTTTCTATAACTATAATACAAACAATAAATACTGGTCTATAAAAAATTATAACAGAACAATACTGGGAAGGGTTAGAAACTGTGTGTGTGTGTGTGTGTGTGAGAGAGAGAGAGAGAGAGAGAGAGAGAGAGACAGAGAGACAGAGAGAGGGGGGGGAGCATGAAAGCAAGCACACAGTATGTGAGGTGACAGGGGACTAAATTCTCATCTTTCATCGTTCAGAGGTAATGAAACATTGCTCACAACTGGAAAAAAAAGGAAGAGAAAAATGGGAGTAGCAAAGGTGGTGCATGACCTCCTACAGGTGATCCTCTGTAGGTCATACCCTGGCCTGTGCTACGCCTGGCTTCCACGGCTGTATGGGAGGTGGTAGGCAGAAACTGTCAACTTATAAATGAAAACACTATGAATAAACTTATAAGCTAAACATTAATATATAGTGTTCTTGATCTTTAAAGTATTGTAAAATAATTGCATTATAACCTGTCGCAAAATGACTGATAATAAGCAATTCTAACAAATTCTGATATTAATAATGCATAATTATAAATAAAAATGTCACTTTTATGGGCCTGGCTCATTTACCCTCTTATATTTCACTTTTTAAAATGAACTTGTTCGATCTCTATTTTCTTACCTCTTGCTGTGTCTCCCATACAAAGATTTTTCTTCAAAGATCATATGTACTCTCAAAAGTGGAGAATTACTACCTTGCCTTTGCAGTCTTGTTATGAATGAGTCATGTAACTTTAGAATATTTCTAGTCATTCATGTTTGGTTTCACTCATACTTCAAAGAGATTCTCTATTATTCTAGCAACCCTACATTAGTTTTTAAAAAATCTACCCCACAAAGGAAGTAATGACAGCTAATAACTGTTTAGCAGCTTTATAAATATCATATCATTAACTAAAGCAAATATTAGCACCACTTTACAGATGAGAAAAAGAGGGTTTCGAGAAGTTACCCTAAGCCAGGAAGTAGGAACCCAGAATATAAAATCTTAAGCCATAATAAAAAGCTGCTCAATATAATTTTAAATAAATAATAACTTTGAGACAACAGGGTAGAGCTATATCACCTCTAGCTGTAAATTATACTGACAGGCAAGAATTGCCATCAAAATTCAAGAAAAGCAAAAACATCTTAGGCTGAAGTAATTAGGATGGGCTTTACAATAAGGAGTAGGATTTTACATGAGTCTTGAAACCTAGGTTCAGTTTGGATAGATGAAAAATTATATCCTTGCTATGTACAATAATCACAATGGCCGAGCAGACTCTGGCCCCAGACTGCCTGGGTTCAAGTCCTGGCCCCACCACTTAGTGTTTCTCTGGGACTCTGTCTCTCCATCTGTGAAATAGGGCTGATGCTAGTAGTGCCTCTCACATGGGCCTGTTGTGTGGATGCACAGGATTAACATGTGCACAGCTTTTAAAACAGTGTCAGGAACTCTGGAGGCATGAGATACATGCTAACAACGGCGACTGCTATGTTTTCAGGAATATAATATTTGGATTGTCAAAAAGGAAAAATAAGCTAATTTTAAACAGGATATCCTATTTATCTTTACTATTTCATCTATGTACTTAGGCAAAGAAATTGTAAAATCATGAGATATCGTCTAATTCTTAAATCTACAACTAAGTACATTTCAAACCCATTAGGGAAGAAGAGTAAAAGGATAGGAGGAGGAATTACCACGTTACCAGCTGTCAAAACTTTTCACTACTGTTTCTCACTATCCCTTAGATTAAGAGTAAACTGAAGACAGATCATAAGGAAACCCATTAAAATTGGATTTTTAAAAAAATAACAGGGAAAAAGCATTAGTACTAAATATAAGAATCAGAATAAGATATACTCAAACTTAGAGATTTATACAAAATTTCTCAATTACTATGGCTAAATATGTTTCAAAACATTTCTTTTTATGTTGATAATATTAAACAAAGATAAAAGACTTAATTATATGTACACTTTTATTTTATTTATGTAAAAACATGCATATAAAACAGGCTAGACTGGAATACACAGAGACAATGTTTACTGTGCCAAAGTGGTAAAATCATGGATTGTTCCTCCCTTAATTTCCTTTTTATAATGGCTGCACATAATTTTAATCATTGAGTGATTAGCGGGGGGTTTTCTATGTTGTTGTTTTTTCACTGATTTTTAGAGAGGGAGGGAGGGAGAGGAAGAGAGAGACAGAAACATCGATGAGAGAGAAGCATCCATCGCCTGCCTCCTGCCTGTCCCCTACTGGGGGACTGAGCCTACAATCTGGGCATGTGCCCTGACCGGGAATCAAACCAGCAACCTCATGGGTTGACTGAGCCACACCGGCTGGGCATGAGTGATTAGTTTTTAATGAACCCTGAAAGGATCTCTGATCTACTTCCCTAATAATCCAAAGGTTCACTGATGCCACCTGAAAAGCCATTTTAAAAAGCATTCAGCTTCTTTAATGCCATAGGGGAAAAAATCTACTCAGTTCAGACTTACTAATTTTACGAGTTCCAGATTCTCTTTCCGTAGGACTTTAATTTCCCAAATGACATTTGTGTGACGGGGAAAAGCAGAGCCCTTGTCACTCCACTCCAGGTGTAACGTAGAAGTTGAGAAATTGGCAGACAGACGCAGGATCTCCGGAGGGTCTGGAATGAGGGCTTAAAAAAGGAGATCATACTTAGTAAAATAGGTAATGATTTCTCATATTGTACTTCTATTAGTCAACTCATCTTAAACTCTATTCCTTCCTGATAAAAATAAGTACTCAAGAATGAGAAGCAAACTCTTCAACCTATTCCCGAAAAAAAGAGAATATATGTATTTATTTATATAAGCGGCTCCCAGTGATTCATCGGCCAAATCTGAGAAAATGATCAGCAGCTGTTTCAAATCCCTAATGTCTCCTGGAATAGCAACTGGCTTCCCACCACACACTGGTGTCCCCTGGTCTGGGACCTACAAGTAGGTCAGTCACATCGGAGAGAAGTAAAAGAACTTCTGTACAGCCGTAGGTCAGGCCTACGAAAAGGATGGAAAATGACGGAAAGCTTGCTCTGGGGCTTTCTCTGCCGCCCTCCCACTCATCTCCCAGTGTCAGAGCCCCCCACGCTGGGAAGTCACTCACAGGAGGATGCCATGGGCTCTTCCTGGTTATAGGTATCAATCAACAGCAGCAAGACCATAATACAGGCCAAGACACTGAGGGAGGAGGCCAATGGGTCCCTGGGCAGATCTGCAAGTCCTTCAGGAAGTTAGGTCAGCAGGGCAGGGGGCAGGAAAGGGACGAGGTGACCAAGTAGGAACCTGGCGAGAGCCATGAGGCTTGGATCATGATACGTATATGGAAAAGCCAGGGCAAAATCTGGTGGGCATTTCGAAGAAATGACTGGACCAAAGAAATGGAGGGTTAGTATAACGAGAAAGGCAAACGCCTGAGAGCTCCTCAAGTTCCTAGCCCAGAAAAGCAGGAAAGGCTAAGGAAGGAGGGACCATCCTGAAGAAATGAAGGAGATTGGGGGGTGGGGGGGCAGATGGAGTCTCCAGGGAAGAAGAGGCGTAATGGAGGGGTGTGCAGACAGCGGAGGGAGACTGTGGTCCCCGACGTGAGAGGACTTTGCTGAGTGTAGCTGGAGAGATGAATGTGCGCACAGACGCAGAACAGCCAAAGCTCGCCTGGGGGCCATGGACAGAGAGTTCCCCCTGCAACAGACCAGAGACCCTGCAGGAAGGACACAGACGCAGAAGGAAACCAGAGAAAATCCAGGGCCACTGAGACCGAAAGAGATGGGGTGCCATCCAGGCAAACAAGGCAGAGCTCACAGAAGACAGAGCAGACCAGTAACACTGGTGCAGGCCCCTCTACGTTTGAGAAAGAAGTTTGGGAGGTGGAGGTGGGGCAGAGGCCCCAGGGGCTGCTTTACAAAAGGTAGAGAGAGAGAGAAAAGTAGGAAACCTTCTAAAGCTTCAGGTCCCCCTCTCTATACGGGACGGGGAAATCCCTGAGTACTCCGTGGATCCGTGGAGAACACACAAGGTCTGAATGGGCTGTTCCGTTCCACGAAACGCGGGCTTTCTGGTCTGAGGGGCCAGAAACCCGGGGTTCTTTCTTGCATGGTCCCTCCGCAGTGACAGTGAGGGCTGGGGAAGCTCCAAGAAACACACAGACACGCCTTCCCAGGCCTCAGGCCGTCCGCATGGCTGCCCCACGGAGCTCCAGGACCCGTGAAGTCCCGGCAAGGGGGCGGCCGAATGTGCTAGGTAACGAAAACGGCAGAGCAAACCCGTATCGTAAATTCATCTTGGAACTTAAAACTAAGTCCATAGGAACAGTGGTCCTACGTTTAACCACAACCCGCTGGCCACAGTGCCCGCGGGGGTCTATGTGACATGTTGGGGGCTGCGCAGGAGACAGAGCACGCCCACAGCAACGTCGATGGTCCTCAGCTCTCCCAGGACCGCGGGGCCTGCTGCACAGGAGAGCTGCTCGGGGGCACTGCTTCCAGGAAAGGGGCAGAGGAGAGAAAGAAGCTGCTAGTGCTGAGGGCGGGGGAGCAGAGCACAGGCTTCTAGCAAGGCGGTTCTTTCAAACGCTTCGCGATGGCAAGAGGTAGTGACTTTAAAATTATGAGACATGGGCGTATTTTACTAAGGCCACATTCATCCACTCAAGTGCTTTCCTCCCTGAAAAGCCCACACAATTTACATATTACCTAAATAGCAGCGGGCGACTCTTCAAAACCCAAGTCATTCCCAGTATTTCAAACTACAGACAGCAATTACAAATGAAAGGATTAAACACACACACACACACACACACACACACACGCACACACACACTTCTTCACTTCTTTCTCTACGGTATGCCGGGGAAGGTCCCTGAGCTCCCATGATACTTGGAAATAGATACTTGAGAACAATGTCTAACTTTCTAGAAACTACGAACGTCCAGCTAAGAAAGAAATTCCACCCATCTTGTTTGTTTATTTTTTAAAGCTGGAGCATTTTTCTCCCAACCCTCCCTGTTCTTTTTGCTGCGGGATACCCGAGGTCGGGAGCCTTCCCAGCTCTTCCGTAGGCTCCACGGTATTTATTCTGCCTCAGACGGATCCTAATGACCAGGTTATTATAAGAAACCCAGACATTAAAAAGACTTATTGTTGTGCCTCGCCCTTGCCAATTAGAAAGTTATTACATGTATATGCACATATGTTAAATACCTTGTTCGCCTCTGATATGTACACTTTTAAAAGCATCTTAAGACCTGAGAAAAACTTGATTTCTCTTGCTTTTATTTAGTGGCAAATGGCCAAAGAACCCAGCTCCTTAGTGCTCGGCACCACCCACCCCACAACTTCCCCTGCACACGGCAGGTGCCCCGGGTCCTGCTGATGCATCCACTTCCCTCTGTCCTGTTCATCTAATCTGCCTTTCAGTTTATTTATTTATTTTTGTTACTCATCACCTGAGGATATTTTTCCATTGATTTTATAGAGAGAGAAGAGGGGGTGGGGGGAGATAGAGAGAGAGAAACATCGATGTGAGAGAGATACACTGATTGGCTGCCTCCTACATGAACCTGTAGCAGGGCCAGGAATCAAGCCTGCCACCTAGGTACATGCCCTTCACCGGAATCGAACCAGGACCCTTTAGTCTGTGGGCTGATGCTTTATCCACTGAGCCAGACTGGCTGGAGCGCCTTTCAATTTCTTACCAGTACTATCTTAGCAGTAGTAATGGTCATACTTAGTGTTGGGATACTGTTATCTAATATTCGAATCAGTCAGGCCATTATTAAAAATGCTATCATGAGATTACCCGATATGCAAAAGCACTGAGCTATCAATCAAACATGTCAGCTAGAGTCTCCCTTGATGTGCCTTCCTAACCCTTCCTGACACCGTCATCTGTAAGCAGCTTCCCAGACAGGACCTCCGAGCACCTACTGCAGAATCAGACAGTACAAACGCGCTCACAGACAGTCCTGGGGGATTTTTAAAAATCTGGAAAAAGACTGAGATTCTTCCTACAATACGACAAAGCAATTCCATATGAATAAAAGGCTTACATCAGGTATGAAAACAAAACCAAAAACTCATAAAGAGAAATAGCAAGAAATTCTATTACATAAAGACGAAAACCCGTGGTGTGAAAAACACCACAAAAGTTAAAATTGTAAACTTGGAAAAATATTTGTAACAAATATGACAGAAGTAACAACCATAATAATTTCAGCATGAGAAAATTTACCAAGGATAGAAATCATTCAAAAAATATATAAATGACTGATAATTAAAAAATGTAACCATCACAGAAATACAAAAACAACGGAGCTCTAATCTGGGGGCCATCAGAGTGAAATGGAAAACGAAGATGGACAATACCCAGTCCTGGCCAGGAGGTGGGAGGACAGGCACGCTCTAAGATGACGTTTTGTGGAATACAAAGAGATTCCGAATTTTGGGACAACGATTGGCAATGGATGTGAAAAGCCATAAAAAGTGGCATTTCCTTCAATGCGGCATTCCCAAGTCTGGACACTCAGCCTAACGAAATCACCACACAAAGTCGGAAACATACATGTGCAAAAGATGCTCTTTAAGGCATTGGTTAGAATACTGAAAAACTGGAAACAAAAATCTCAATGGCAACAACCAATCATTTAAAGTGATTATGGTACCTCCCCTCCATTCAATGGAATAGGATGCAGTTTATATTTAGATAACAACAGGGAAATCTGGGTTATTTCCCAAGTTCACGTTCTTTTCAAATACTTACACACATTTTTTTCATTTAGTATGAATTTGCTTATAGAATTTCCAAAGTCACGTAGAGGGCTTATCGTTATTTCATATTGCCCAGGATTAAGAGGTGGGATTTTAGTACTTGTTTTCCCCAATTGATAACAAGAAGAATGGGACCTGCAATATAAGAAATCAAATTTTAATCAGCAGATAAAATTAATAGAACAAGTTCCGTTAAACCTTGATTAACACAAAATGCACTGGAAAATAGTTTATGCTCTTTTGTACACAAAAACACGACAGGTTACACTGCATTTTAAGAATGCTAAAAGAGAGTATAATGGTAAGTGCATCAATATGGGTGTAAGAAAAATCACCAGATTGTAGCAGAAAGTTGAGGCAGCATGGATGATTTCTTCAAGAACCAGGACTGCAGCATGCTCTTCAAACCTGACCCCAGTTCCCGCTCCAGTCTTACCTTCTACTGCACACACCCTCCTCCCTAAACACTCCTCTCTTCTAACAGACACTGGCCACAGAAAGGAAACTGGCTACTTGTCACCCCTAAAAACACACCCTCAATTTGTCTGCTCCTCTGTCTTGGCTCCTGGTTCACTGAACTAACTTTCTGGGCAACTCTGCCTTCAAAATGCTTCTACGTCCCACTCATTACCTCTCGGACAGAAGCGACCGTCTCTTCTGTGGCTCCACGGCCCTTTGTATCTTTATGAAACACGGTTACTTTCTTTTACCGTTATTCATACGCATTTCTAACTTCCCATAAAAAATGTTAACGCAAGCAAAGGGACTCTTGGTGGCTCCCACACCCCTGCCTGCACCCCAGCACCTAACAGGGGCCTGTTCACATCATTCACTCAGGCCTGAGGACTTCAAACGCTGGGCTCCCTCCTCTCAGCTCATGGCGAGGCTTCTTTTGGTGCCAGCAACACACAGCTAACACAGGGAAGGGGCACGAGAAGTAAACAAACAGGCCCAAGTGAAGCCATGTTAGACTCAGCACCTGCTCCCTGCTACCCGCTACCCTGCTACTCTGTTCCCTGCTCCCTGCTACCCTACTACCCACCACCCTGCTACTTGCTCCCTGCTACCCTGCTACCCACTACCCTGCTACCCTGTTACAAGCTACCCTGCTACCCGCTACCCTGTTACCTGCTACCCGCTACCCTGTTACCTGCTACCCGCTACCCTGCTACCTGCCAGCCTGCTACCTGCCACCAGACACAAAACTTGGCTAAGCAGTCATGAGATAAGATTGCTATCAGTAGCTTGCTCATACCACAAAGGTTTATTCATACCAGAAAAGAAAAACAAATCACACAATACACCGTGTAAAGGTTAAAGTGAATCCCAATGTGCTTTTTCCACTCTTTCACCACACCGGCTATTTTCCATAGAAAGCACAACACCAGCTCCACCTCTGGAGATGGGGCCTCCCTGCCTCTCAGGTCAGGAGAGGCACCGCGCTGCTGGGAGGAGGCACGGGGCCTCACCGCTTCCCTATGCACTCCCTGCACTGACCCGCGGGGCTGGCTCGGGCTGGAACTCTTTCCTGTGCGGAGCCCAGAACCCGCTGGGTTCGGGGCATCAAATCCACCCAAATCCTCAGAATCGTGCTGTCATCCATCCGTTCACGCACTGAGCCCAATCCTCTGTCCACCTGGAATGGCCTTTTGTCCTTTTCTGCTGAGGAAACGGAGTCTTCCTTCTCCCCCCACACGTCCTCTGAGCAGCGTCTCTGAAACGGCCAGCACCCTCCTGGGCCGGTACTCGCCGGCCCCACACACACCCCGCCAGCACTGAGCCAGTCTGTCCCCCGTGAACCCCTGGGGGCGGCACCGACTTCCTCTCCCTGTGGCCCGTGGCTCTTCCCCACACTCTGGAGGGCTCCCCTCTGCACTCGCAGTGGGACTGCAATTCCCCACTCCTCAGGCCCTGCAGGAACACTCAATGAAGTCACATGATCACTTCCCCTTCCAGCTGAAGTGGGAAGCCCCTCCAGCTGTGCTCCCTGCTCCGGGTCACCACAGCCCCGGGGCCTGGGCCTGAGCAGAGCTACCAGCGGACCCAAGACAGCACAGGACACAAGCAGCAGAGCAACCTTTATTTTCGCAGCAGGAAGTAAAGAGATGAGAAGTGAGGGTTGTTTCTGCAACACAACCAAACTCATCCAAACTGATAAATTACCCCAGTTCTTGGGACAACATCCCCTCAATGCCCTCCAAATGAGAAAAAAACCCGAGTGTATGCAAATACACATTTACGTCCATTTACATGAGGACCGCCCATCAGCCAACAGGGACTTGGAGCTGCTCAATGGGACCCTCTGGAATCACTGAGACCAGGGTTGGGGAGCACCCTGCCCAAGGGCCGTATGAGTCCCCCGAAACCATTGGGCCTGGCCCTGCCAAGGCATTAGGGACGAGTGAGTTAAATGTTTGACCGAATATTGCATGCCAATTTTTAATTTGATAATTTTGCATGCCCCACAAATGGTGTTATAAATATCTAAACAGCCCTTGTCAGGAAAAAGGTTCCCCACCCCCCGATTTAGACAATCCCATGGGATGGGATGGGATGGGATGGGGGAGGCGCATGTTGTAATTCGCGGGCAGCCCAAAGGCCTCAACCTGGCCTTCTGAGCGTCTAGCCCTCTCCAGCTCACCTGAGCGGGTCAGGAGGTGTGACAGAACCTGCCACCTGCCTCCGAAAGTTTACTTCCCCTTTTTCCTTATTGACATGAACCCGCTGTGTATCTGGGCACACTGCCACCCGGCTGGGGGAAGCAGGCCCAGCCCTGTGCCCGTCGGCTTAGCTGTCTGCCCGGGTTCTGCCCGTGGGACGCAGTGCAGGTGTGAGTGGCACTTCTTGGAAGTGTCCCTAAGGAAGAGCATCCTCTTCTCCTCCTGCTTTACGGGATGCAGGCATGACAGCCGCTCCTCAGGCCTCATCCTGAACCATGTGACCACATGCCGAGGACGGCGGAGCAGCAGGGACAGAGGAACCCGGGGCTCCCGTGGCCACAAACAGCCGGTCAGCCCCGAACTCGCACTCCTGGCCTTGTACGTGAGGGTGAAGGACCAGCTGGTAAGCCACCGTTACTGACTTTTCTGTTCGGCACAGTCCAAACTTCAGCCTAACACAGTGGTTCCCAACCTTTGTCTGGCCACGCCCCACCTAAGCCTCTCTAAAATCCTGACAACCTCTCCCCCCACCCCCCGTGACATATAATTCTTATTATTCAAAAAGTGAACTACTATTCATGTGGAGGAAGCCTAAATGGCTGTTAACTCGGTCTAAACAAGCTTCCAAAGAACATGGTGTCCATAAAAGAGAAAAATGAAAGGACGAAAGGATAGGTGAAGTACTGAGGAAGAAATCACTAAGAAACTGTTAAAAAAAATAATATGAAGTCATATGACTAGAAAATAAAGTTTTAAAACATATAAAATAAAGACCTGAAATGCATAAATGTCACAATATATATATTTATATACTGTATTTGAGGCCCCTAAAACCATAAGCAATGCAAAAAATTCACTGTTAATCACTCATGCTAATCGCCCCCCCTTAAAAATCAAATTGCCCCCCTGTGGGGCATGTGCCCCATGTTGGAAACCATTGGCCTCACCGATATAGGCAGACGCTGCCCTGGGGCAAACCAGCTAACCTTCCCCGGAGAGATCAGCACCCACCACCCACCCACAGGCCCGGTGTGCCACCTATTCCCGACTGATGAAAGAGTCAGCATTTGTAGGAAACAGAAAGCTCAGGTTTCAAATTTCCTTCATCAAATGTACAGAACAAAATCATTATGCTCTAAAATTAGAGAGAGAAACTTTGCTTTTAGGCGGGAGCTGTCAATGAATCGAAGCGTTTCCATTACCCGTTTTGGATGCAAACATCGTAAAGAGCACCGCGGCCCGCTCCCGAGGGCGCTCTCCAAGAGCAGTCCCACGCCTGCAAATCGCTGGTTACACACTTCACGTCACGGGGGCTGCCTGGAGACGAGAAACCACACACACACACCGTGCTGAATGATGGAGCTGCTCTGCAAAGAGCAAGTCAAACTGCATTCAATAAGTACAAGCATGTGTGTCTGCAGCGGGCCCACACTCTGTGCTGAGATGAGCCTGCAGGCCTAGGAGGGGGCTGGTTTTATATTTCTTTTTGTAGCTCCAGCTTAAAAAAGCTCCAGAGTAACCTGATGAAAGTGGGCCGACCGCTAACCACTCAGGGGGTAGGCTTCCATCAAAAGTTCCACTTCCAGGCAACGAAGACAAATAGAGGAGCGCCTGTGTGGACTCTGTGGTGGGACCCAGCGGGGGCCTAGGAGAATTTTTATCTCCAAGAGCCTCATTTACTAGAAAAAAAAAAAGGAAAAAATAACTCTAGGTAAAAGCTATGTCTTTCCCACAAACAGGGCTCTACACTCCCAGCCACTCCTGCCTCACTGCTGGCTACCAGACTGCCACCTACATAGAAACCCCATAACCAACCTTCAGATTTTTATGCAGCATATTAAATTTATACGGTAATGAGCTCACACAAGTATCTGAAAAATATATAGTTCACGTGGGCCTACACAACTGCAAAGTAACCATCCAGAAGATCACAATCTAACAGTGCTCACTGCATCTATAACATGACGTCACGGAACGTGTCAGCGCTATGCAATGGAAGACAAGGAAGAGAGGGAGGGAGGGGGGCAGGGGGGAGGGGGAGGGAACAGCAATTAAAGTATAACAGAGGTATTCTACCTCAGACTCTCTGTATCAGCCATTTTCAACCTTTTTCATCTCATGGCACACATACGATAATTACTAAAGTTCTGGGGCACACCAAAAAATATATTTTTTTTGCCAATAGGACAAAAAAATAGGTATAATTTTAATTAATTCACACCTAATGACTCGTGTGTTGGCTGTTGTCATTTTCTTAGTTGACAACCTAAGGGAAAAGAGGTCAGTGCCCCTGACTAAATAGTCATGTTTTAAAAATTCTTGCGGCACCCCAGCTGGAAAAAAAAAACCCTGTTCTATATAAGTGCCTATGAAAAAGTCTTTTTCTCTAGTTTTTACATAGAGTCGGCATGATATTTACTACAGCACTAAATCATAAAGCTGTTTGTATAAAAGAAAACAAAAACATTATAAGCGCTCACATTAGAAATTATCAGTAGTTATAATGAAGTTATTTAATCGTGATCTTGGGGAAATGAAAATAACATCCACATTAAACCCAGGGGCAGAGGGATAATGTTTTATAGAAATAAATTAGGTGACATCTAAACAAACATTCTTAAGGTAGTTAAATAAAACGAAAACAAGTAGCATGTTAAAGAGTGATACAGTATTCAATTTCATTTATAGGACATTCTGAAGGCAGTGGAGAGAGAGAGAAGCCGGTCAGTGTGGCTGGAGGGGGGATGGGAGCAGCTGGTCCAGAGGACCCTGGGAAAGTTTTGGAGAGACTGTTCTGCACCTTGTGCTGGTGGCCACACAACCGTATGCATTTGTCAAAATTCACAGAACTTGATCCCAAAAGGGTGAATTTTATTGAATGTAAATTGTACCTGAGCTTTTAAAATGGGGAAAGAATACTTAGATCTATATTTAAGGGCTTTTTAAAAAGAAACCAAACGTATGTAGAAGGAAGATAACAAAGAAACGGATTTTAACCACCCAAGCCCTAAAGGTTTCAATGAAGACACAAGACCACAGTCAGTTCGTTCTGTGACTCTAAGGCACTTACCCTTTTTCTGGCTATTTACTTGATTCATTAAATACAGCAGAATAAATGTGGACAAGAACGACCGGAAATGTGAAGTCATCCTCATCCCTTCGCTGGCCGCCATCCGGGTTGGTCGTCCTAAACACGAGGCCACGTCCATCCTCCGTCCAGCGTGGTCGGCCCTAGACGAGGAGGAGAATGTCACACGGTGCTCCAGCGTCTCCCCACACCGGCCTCGCGCTGGGCATGTGCACACTGGCACGGAAAGCGGACACGGACAGCTCCCGAAACCCGGCACGTAAATGACCCGGGAGACACCGGGCTCCGCCGGCTGGGCTTTAGGAGACATTAGCGATCGGACACAGCTGTTGCTGCAGATCCATCAGAGCAGCAGTTCTCAACCCTCCTAATGCCCCGGCCCTTTAATACAGTTCCTCATGTTGAGGTGCCCCCAATTTCATTGTGACAAATTGAACATAATTAAAGCATAGTGATTCATCACAAAAACAATATGTAATTATATATGTGTTTTCCGATGGTCTTAGGCGACCCCTGTTAAAGGGTCATTTGACTGCCAAAGGGGTCGCGACCCACAGGTTGAGAACCGCTGCATTAGAGGGTCACTTTTCAAATGACGGGCTTCAAGTTCAAGACTACGACCGAGCACACTGCTCTCCACTCTAATGCTACCGGAGTACAGAACAGCCGGGCATGAAACTGAATCTCTGACAATTTTAAGTGATCCATGGAATGACATTTCAAATTAATTCGTTTACATTCTCCTTTATAGTCACTTGTTTTTGACAATATCAGTTTTCCATTGACCCTGTGGTATAAAGTTTCTATTTCATATACATTTAAGTAGTTTAAAAAGTAAAGAAAAAAATGGGAGAAGTAAGGTAGGGGGTTTGCAGATGTGACAAAAATACTGATAATGGAACATAAGCTCATCGCACTTGAAAATCTCCTGCCTGAAAGCAGTGACTGCCCTGGTGGGCGGCAGGGAGGGGCCAGGGCAGCAGCCCGAGGGCCAGGTCCTCCTCCAGGCACCGGCACATCACCAAACTGGACAAGGCCACTGCCCTCAAGGACCTCAGACTCCAGTGCGGAAAGACACACACCTAAACAAATAAGAGCCTTACCATCCTGCTCTGCTCTTTGAAAACTAGCATAGGTCAATGTGTGTGCGAGTGTGAGTGAGATCTGACTGAGGCGCAGATGCCATGACAATATCAGGGAACAGAGCAGCGGCAAGTACCAGGTCCCTAAGACAAGGACCAGCTTCCCAGGAAGAGGGGCCGAGAGCAGGGAGACGCAAAGAGACGTGGGCTGGGCATGGCCAGGGAAGGGTATGGGGTTTAACGGGGTTGAGAGGAGAAGTCACCGAGTGCTTTAATCAGGGGAGACCCTGATCTGAGAATATGCCTCCAGCTGCTGCG